TATAGTCAAATAAGCCGAACTTCACTCTAATATTTAGCAATTCGCTCTGCGCGGGATACGCGTATTGCGTACGATAAATTTCACAAAGATAAGAAACGTCAGGGTCTGTTAACGAAGAAATGCATAGCTTGTATCGAGTAGTTCGAGATTGGCGGCCTATGCCGCTTTTCCGCACCAAAAAAAGCGTAGAACAGTATAACATATAATATGGAGCAGTGCGAAAATTTCACTCAAGCCATGAAAACGTTTTGAATCGTTGAAACCAAACAGGTTTGAAATCGACAACAACTTACAGTGCTGCGTTGTAGACTTTCTTTCAAAATTAAAAAAAAAAAAAAAAAAAGCAACATGCTTAGATGCCCAGAATATTTTTTTTAGCTCTAAGGATACTTGATTGGCAGGGAACGAATCTAATAAAATTGCTTTGTCCTCTTCGGAATAGTCCTTTTTGATCCTTAAAAAAATCTGTCAACTGAAACAGAAATCTGATGCAAAAAATGTCTCTTGCTTTTTTGTTATAATGAACTGTAGTAAAGCCTAATGATCTGGTTAGTTATCATCTAGCCAATTCTATTTGATACTGTTTGCATCACGAAACACTGGACGGCGACCGCTGATAAGCAGCATTTCAATTTCTCCAAAGCGTATTAGAGTCAATAAACGTTACAAATAGATACGACTTCCGCTGCTTCCCAATCTTGCTACAGGCGTTTCCTCCATGTCCCATGTGAAGGAGGGTCCAAAACAATAAGTGTGTTTGCTCCTTGACCAGCTATATAGAAATCTAGCTATATTTATGCCATTTCTTGCGGATCTATAAAATATCGTGCTTTCCCGTGTACCGCACATGAGGATTGGATAGACAGCTTGCGAAGTATTGAAGCTCCAAAATGTCGTGTTAAAGCGATACCAGCTTGATAATAATTACAGCGCAATTATTTTTCCATCGTTTTGGATCGCCTTTTGTGCTGTTAGGGATCATTTTAAAGGGGTGTATTGCTTCAATCTTACGCAAGCCTTGCATTGCACATAGAATACACACTCGGGAGCTTTCTCTAGCTTTTGTTTTTGTCGTTTGCAGCAAGCTGCGCATTACCGGTTGATGAACTTCTTAAAGAATATCCACAGTATGTAAACAATATATTGCTTAAATATTGTGCTTTCTATTTCGGACAATATAGATACGGGTCTGCGTTGCCGGACGCAACAATTTTATGTATTTACTGAAGAACGTGCTATTCAAAAGGTACCCCCCTCGTATCTTCGAACCCACGTGTTATAAAAATGAAAGTATATGTAGCGAAATGATTTTTTAGAATCTGGTAGTTTCTTCGAGATTCTCTAAAACTCAAGCAATTCTATATTTTATTTTTTATTACGAAGTTAGTTGAAGTAATGTCAATTTTTATGTTATAATTTTTATTTCTAACTCAAGTAGATGCTTAATTTCTTAGACATCCGAAAGCACGCGGTCACAGGCCCTGTTCTTTGACAGGGTTTAGAAGAACATTATTTTTAAGCGTTTTTTTTCCCAAAAATATCCTATATTAGCTCGTTGTAACCGTAAAGAAGATCAATTCTATGAACCATCTGACAATCAATGCCATTTCTTTAACCTGCTATAAGTATCGAAAAGTAACAAAGAAAACGGGTCAAAATTGTATACTTTGTATCATTCATAGTGAATTCGTGTATGCGTTCCGTAGCGTGCAAGAACTTCACGACTGGCGCCGATAGGTGGCTAGAGTGTTGCACTGGTTCACTTAACCTAATATTCCAAACGTAGGGTAGAGTATTTAACCTTGACCTTGTTACGAAGACGGGTATTGAGCACTGTAAACTGATGTTCGAATTGAATTAGTGCCCGGCTGCGCTGTTCTTGTGGCCGACTAAAAAGAAGTCCCGGCTCTATTTCGAATTCACTAAATGTTTAGTGTACATTGAGAGTATACGCCATTGTAGGACGTAGTCGTATGTCGGGGAAAAACGTATTATTTACAGCCATCTTAGAGGCACCTTGTTTTAGAGACGTTACACAATGTGAACAAGCATAAGGCGTTGCCCATAAATAGCCTACGAACTCCATGAAGCGTCAGTGCAATAAAGAACTTAGCTCGACACTTCTCTTACAAGTTGTGTTATTTCAACATCGTGGAACCGTGTTATACAAATAACCATTCGTACTATTCATTGTTGTTTGAAATACTAGCAGTATTTATTATCTACTACTACGACAGCTCTGAAAGAGATAGAACGCGTTTTTCGACCAAGTTTTACTGATCAATGTTCATTTGACGCATGTATCTCGATGCGCATGAAAGTTGATATTGAAGAGTGTTGACGTCTCGACTAACGTATAAAATTATTTTTACATATTCAAGTTCACGTCGTCAAATAACAGCATCGGTTGAAAAGATTCAAGAAATCGGATCGTAGCGAGCCGTCATTAGTTGGATTAAGCACACAGTAAAATATTGTTAACTAACTATCACAGTGGGAGACGCAGTAGGAAAGCGGCAAACTATGAAACGAAATTTCATTCAGGCTATGACAAAACTCTGCCCAGTACCAAAGATCGACGGCATTTTTGGTACAGACTTGCCACATGGTACTTTGATTTATACAATGCACTGTAAAAAGATTATATATATATATATGTAGTGATGGGGTGCGCGCTATATCTAATTTGCCGCAAGCAAGAACGAAGGCTATCGTAATGGTGACGATTATTACAATGACCAAGGTGGCTGCGAGGGTGGAGGAGGAAGCACTAGAGGTAAAGATGGGAGCAGTCAAGCTGGCGTTGCTCGTGGCGGAAGAAACAATCGTCAAATGAACCAGAAGTGCAATGGAGAAAATCGAGGCGCAAATAACAAATATGGAAGAAGAAGAAGCGACGATGACAACGACGATTACGTTTATTTTGCCAGTCATAGCGACAGGGGTGGAAAAAACGGCGGCAACCAAAAAAAACGCTGGGAGCGGTAGATGTGGAGGAGGAGATCAAACACAGAAAGAACGAGGACGTGGAGGCCATGTCAACGATGGCGGCGGAAGAGGAGGAGGTGAAGGCGGAAGGGGGAGCGAGAGGTGCTGGGAACGGAGGTGGTGAGACCGGCAGGGGGAGGTAGTAAAAGTTACTATAGCGGTAGTAGAGGAGTTAGTGAAAGGGGATATAGTGGCGGAGGTAGTGAAAGCAGAGATGGTGGTAATTACGGGAACGGTGGTAGAAGCAGAAGGGGTGTAGGTAGTGGTGGAAGGCGAAGAAGGAAGTGGGAGTAATAATGACGAAGGTGAACAAGGAGGTGTTGGAAACTATGAAAAGATGATGACGGAGGCAGAGGCGGAGGAGGTAGTCGGGGAGGTAGAGGTGGAGGGGTGGTAGGGTAGTAGAGGCGGAGGGGGTGGTAGGGGAAGTAGACGCAAAGGGGTGGTAGGGGAGGCAGAGGCGAAAGAGGAGATTGCAACTACGACGGGAGCGGTAATAGAGAAGAAAGCGTGCCTCACAGAAGAAATTATGAGGATGATGGGGACGGAGGTGGTAGTGGTCACGGTAATAATAATAACGATAGCGGAAACGGTAGTAGTTACGTAAGCGGAGATGGTAACAATGGCGATGGTAGTGGCAACGGAAGCAATGGTGCTAGGAAAGGCGGTGGAAATGGATACGGTGAAAATAATAATGAGGGTAATCGCAACGGAGTAAACTATAGAAATAATGGAGGGGGAGAAGGCGGAGGCAGTGGTGGTAACTGTAGAGATAATAAAGGCCAGAACAACAATGGCGGAGATAGAGATGGTGATGGAAATAGAAGAAGCAATGGTGATTGCGGTTAGGGAAATGGAGGCGGTAGTAATGAGGCCAATGGAAATAGAGAAAAGGCCATGCTGGAAGTGCTGGTGGTGTAAGCGGGGGCAGTAGCTGTAATGGAAATGGTTGAAAAAATGGCAATAATGGGCGCGGCGGAGGAGAAGGAGGAGGAGGAGGTAGTAGGGCACAATGGGGGTAAAAGAAACCACTATCGAAGAAGCGTCAGAGGCGGCAACGGTCGAAAAAATCGCTTCTTCAACGAATCAAATAACGGACGAGACGGCTCATAGGATGCCTTTGCTGGTCGAGGAGGGAACTTTGATGGCAGCAACAGCAACGGCGGTGAAATTTCGTAAACTCCTATAGTTATATTTACTAGTCATGATACCCGCAGGCCGTTAGTACTTGGACCAGCCGTGGTTCATACGCATCCGGGGGCGCCCCTCCAAAGCAGCCCCGAAATAATTAAAGCCTAAACCGGCACAACACTTAAAAGCGGACCCCTCAGCGGCGCTAATAAAGTCACCGCTAGCGCTTGTTACGGCGAACGCATATTTAGCAACAGGTGGCCACAGTCCGACTAAACGCCAGAGCGATGGCATAGGGTCGGAACTTCATTCAGTGAAGTCCTCATAAAACCGTTCAAATCGCGAAATTGAAAGCTCGGTTAACGACTGGTTATATGGCGGCCAGTACAATTGTTCTAAACTGCAGTTGAAAAGCAGATGTGCACAGGGACATCAAGCGTATTAAGTAAAAGGGTGTTCCATACAAACAAGTCGTGTTTGAGGTTCTCTATTCCATCGGCATACGTGCCTTTAACGCCAAAGGTTAGGTGGACGGATCAACAGCAGATTTCACGAGACGGCGACTTTCCAGAACTGTCAAAACTAGTTTTAACCGCAACTGGAGTGCATAGTTGTAGATGATTTAAGAAAAAATTCGTCGACGTACCGCAATAAGTGTTGTCATTGTGTTGGTAAATAGACGAACAAATTTGGAAACATCAAAATCAATGAAAAGGGGGTGGGAAGTAATGGAGTGCTTTAAGTCTAAAAAAATAAAGCTAGAATTACGCAGTGAAATTCGTATTAGAGATAGATAAAGTTCGCACAATTAATAAATGCTGAACTGAAAACACGTACTACTACTACTGAAACGTCGTATCTAAAAACTTCGGATATCGGAAATAAAAGATTGTCGTTATAGCGTATTGGTCCTGTTTATCGTATACTACAAACAGTAGAAAATGCAGTAAAAAACGAATTAGATTCTAATTTATCGTATTATATACCTCCCCCTACCCCCCTCTTTAGGATGTTCTCTCACTAAATTTCTTTACTTTTTCCTGTTAGAGATGTTCAAATTTGGTGCCGGATAATGCATTCAGCCAAATTGTAAGGCCCTCGTTATTGCTAAACGTATTGTCGCTAACTGAACTTTCGTAATCGGCAAAACGGTGATCCGCAGTAACAAGGTTTGGAATGTATGGTGACCGCAAAAGACCTCCCACTCAAGATCTTACCAGTCGGCCGCCATATAATAGTAAAGCCTTTGTTAAGCGAGACTAGAAGTACCGGTATTATGCCTGAGAACAGAAATAATGAAAATAAATTAACATACAACTAGCTTAGAACTGCATCACACTGAAACATTCAGTTTGATGTGTCCTAGAAACATTGTAATAAAACCGTTCCCCATTAACCATAATAGTGAAATGTGTTTAGTGCATGTGCAGTAGCCCTCTGACGTTAAGTTGTATGTATCGTTTGTTCACTTAACATACAAAACACGAATTGTATTGCAAACGTTTGATGCTGTTTTTGTTTGTAAACGTAGTGTGTGAGAACGCAGCTTGGCTTTTGTATTTGATTAGGTGATTTCCCAAAAGACGATTTGCCGCTACGGTTTGAATTTGCTATTTTACGCGATCGATGCTTCACGAAGTGATAAGTGCGACCTCTATCAATCGCATGATTAGCATCGTTTATACATATTTACTTACTTTTCTCTAATCCCTGCAATTCACTAGGAATTACAATCCCAAAAAGGTTTAGTAATTATGATATGACTACATTATTCTTAGTTTAGTTCTAGTTTGCAAGAAATGTGTGGTAAAGGCAATCAGTTTTCCATATTGACCTATTTTTAGGATAGACCAAAGAACCCATGAAGCGTTTTATTTTAAAGAGGTATCTAGTCCTGTTTCTCTGACACCTGTCTGCGTATTTGTCTGTTCATGCCATTCGTTTTTCCTTTTTTCTCTCTTTGTTCGGGGTCCTTTCCCATTTCTCAATCTACCCCGTTATCTTTGCGCAACCCTATAGCAGTTTTCCCCTGTTGTTTAATAGTTAGACCTTCTTTGCCAGTGGCGGCCTGTCTGGCCTTCTCCTGGCAAAAGCAGCAGTTTCTCATAAGCCGGATGAAGCAGGAACGACGTATATTTAATAAAAATATCTAGGACCATAGAATACGTACTGTACAGTAATACATGGTGTATGATTACCGTACGCCTGATCATACAATATGTTGTATATATATGTGATGACTCACACACGTACGTAACGGAGACGTACATACAAACGTATGTGAGAAATGCGGATAAGATTGAGAAGTTTGCAAATATATATACTATCGATTCCAGCGACAATAACAGCACTCGTAAACGAGCTGTATGGATAGCAGTAGAATATAGATAGGACCATTAGTAGTCAGTATTCACCAAATAATAAACGATAAGTTTCGGGAAAACCTTTCTGGATGAACACTCGAGAAAGAGAAACCGTCCTTGTAGTACTGCTTCTGCTGCCACTGCCGGCATCTGATCTCCGAACAAGCAGACGGAGGAAATGTCAAGGTCCACGGGGGCGAAGGGCGGTAGACGTCTAGAAAACTGGAGCAGAAGAACGAATAAGAGGTAACGTCGCCCGGCGATATCGCCTCGAATCTTGCCTGGCTCAAGCGAGGGAGTAACAAAAGAACAGGCCGCCCCTCCAAGGACATTCGCCTACCCTGACCCACTGCAGGATCTACCGCCTGGTTAGATAGACTAGCTGCTCCGCAAGGCTCCAGCGGCTCGAACAACGCTATGCTGCCGCAAAGCGATAGACCGCTCGCGTACAGTGCCTAGTAGCACAAGCAAAAATACGGAAGTCAGACATAGGCCAGGCCAGCACAGCGTAGCGTGCCATCGCTTGTAAGAAAAAGGTTTATGGCAAATTGGACGAAGAAGTTGCGCTCTGTTCCCCAGTACCTGTACGATATTAACGTCTATATGGCCGTCTTTGCAGACGTATCCTTCCGTTGTCTCTGTCCTGTGCGGTGAATTCAGTTGTCGTCGTTTCTTTTGTGACATCTACTGGCAAACGCAACACCGATGAGAATATAAATGCAGTGGTAAAAAACCGATCTACAACCGCCGACGGATAAGAGACTAGCAGGATCGTACACCAACAAAAACCAATGAGAACTTGAAGATATCAGGCAAGTCTGAAATTTGAGGGTTGTCGAGATCCAAAAAGATGTACTCCCTGATATGCGTATCTATCAGAGTCATTTTAGACTCCCGACGAGATCAGGTGAATGAAACAGCATTGTGCAGAAAACCAACTAACATTGTTAGTCATCCTATAAGCACTTTGTACGTATATATGTATGCGCCTAACGAAGTACGCACTCTATCGTATACTAATTTGAGAACTAAATGCCTTGTTATTATTTGATACAATGCAGGCATTCCTCCTTTACAAAACTATGCACATAGATCAATAAGCGGTAGCTAAAATCCAAAATTAATTAGTCGTTCAACGTTAACAACAAAGACATATCAAATGGTTGAAACAATCTATTGATTATAAAACAAATATTTTTAGAGCAGTTCGAAAACGAATCAACGATCCTGAACATTTAACAGATAGGCTCAATGTATACAATTTTGAGCGCACTCGGAAATAAGGGTCCTGTAATCTTCTGCGGAACAGAGGAACTAAACGCGGTCAGTTCGTATCTGGTGCCGCCCACATAGGTAACTTTAAAAAATCTGCGTCATCCTACTCTATAGAATCCAATGCTATATGTACATATATAGTGTGTGGTCCGCTTTCGCATTGTACCTACTTAGCAGACGCGAACCGACTATACTCAAATCGGTTATTCCGCAGAACATTACAGGGTTCTATTTCCGAATCATCTTTTGGCCGCTACTTCAAGTGTTGAAATTTGTAGTTTATATCTTACTGTTTTAAATATTCAGAATCCTCGACTTTGGTTGATTCTGGAACCTACAGGATGCTGACTATGGAAACTGCAGAACGCATTAGGTGTGCACGTCAACCGTAGACTTAAAAATCAAATTTATTCAAAACAAACCGACCATAATCCGCTTCGTGTCTCTGCAGAACTTGACATCTTAATGTAAATATTCCTTTCGAAAATCCAAATATTGGCGCTGATGTCAAAATGGCCAGCGTTGATTACGTTACAAACAGGGAGTTTCTAATTGGGGCACCCTTTCACACTAGCCAAGTTCAGACAATTCCTTCAGGGCACTGCCAGTTGTAATGCTCTGCATAATTATTTAACACGCACATCTTGAATTCCGGGTGCTATCATGTGAACTATTTTAAATTACGTAATCTCGCTATTTCCTTACCCATAAGACAACTGTGGATTTTCCTATGGCCTATTGCTACACTAGCAATTTTTCAGCCAATGCGTATTCTCACGTGCCTATATTTTCGTCGTATTTAGCATTGCGTCTTTGTCGTTTGTCAGCGATCATACGTTTTAAATAAAAACTCCAAATTGATTGGGTGAATATAGGGAGCTATCACAGGGGGTCGAACCGCATGATTAAAGCGAGTTAGCGGGGAGGTTCGACACAGCTTTGCTGGTAATGGCAAAACTGGTATAGTATGGCTTCTGCGTTGGCTAGTGCTGCTATGTCTCGGTCACCGCTGCTGTTAAAGACATCGTGATCGTCGTCCTGTTTTTCTCGTTTAAGGGCCAGCACTCGAAGGATTAGCCA